TTATATTTTTGATATTTATTTTATATATCTAAATGCCATTTAACAAAGAAAAATCAACCAAAAACATGAGTTCACGTGTCACCTCTGACACGCATGTCATAGGTTCGCCATCACTGTTATAGAAGATAGTCAAGATATGGAAGCAACCCAGGAGCCCATCAAGAGATGAATGTATAAAAAAGCTGTGGTATGCCCTGGCCAGTGGTTAGAGCATCATCCCATAGACCAAAGGGTGTTGGGTTCAATTCCTGGTCAAGGGCATGAACCTCGGTTGCAGGCTCAATCCCCAGCCCCAGTTGGGGTGTGTGCGGGAGACAACCAATCGATATGTCTCTCTCTCATTGATGTTTTGCTCCCCCTCCTTCCCATCCATTCTGTCTAAAAAGAAATCACTGGAAATCCTCAGGTGAGGATTAATAAACAAATAAACAAACAAGCAAGCAAGCAAGCTATGGAATAGCACTCAGCAATAAAAAAGAAAGAAATCTTACCATTTGTGACAGAATGGATGGACCTGGAGGGTATTTTGCTTAGTGAAATAAGTCAAACACAGAAAGACAAATACCATATGATTTCACTTATATGTAAAATCTAAAGAACAAAATGAATAAACAAACAAAACAGAAACAGACTCACGAATACAGAGAACAGATTGATAGTTGCCAGGGGATAGGCATTGAGGAACTGGGTGAAAAATGAAGGAATTAAGAATTACTGATAGTTACAAAACATTCACAGAGATGTAAAGTACAGCATAGGGAATCCTATCTAATAAAAGAGAAACATGGTAATTAGCCATACCTCCGCTACCCTTCCCATTGGCTAATCAGGGCGATATGCAAATTAACTGCCAGCCAAGATGGTGGCCGGCAGCCAGGCAGCTTGAAGCGAACATGAGGCTTGCTTGCTTCAGTGATGGAGGAAGGCAACGTTCCCTGCCTACCGCTGCTGGCCTCTGAGCTTGCAGTTTGAAACATTGTTACAAATATAGAAGCTAAACAAAACCCCAGAAACCTGCTTTCAGCCAGCCAGGATCTCAGAGCTGGAGTTGAAACAGTGTTTCGATTATAGAACCCAAACAAACCAGATACCTGCTTTCAGCAGCCGAGGCCTCAGGGCTGGAGCGAAGCCTCAGAGCTAAAGCTGGCCCAGAATAAAAAAAAAGAAAAAGAAAAAAAGGAGCGGTTGGAAGCTTCAGTCACCCACCAGCCTGAAAACAGCCCTCAGCCCCTCACCCAGACTGGCCAGGCACCCCAGTGGGGACCCCCACCCTGAAGGGGGTGTGACCAGCTGCAAACAGCTCTGTGGGTGATCGAGGGCGGCGCCCCCTCCCCCCAATGGGCCCTGCTCTGTGTGTGACGGGGTAGAGCCATAACCTCCCCATCGGCCCTGCCCTGAGTGTGACAGGGTGCAGTGCCCCAACCCCCTGGTCCGCCCTGCTCTGTGTGTGACGGGGGCAGTCCCCCAACACCCCTATAGGCCCTACTCTGAGACAGGGGGGAGCTCCTCAACCCCCTGATTG